CTACTTACTACTTACTACTTACTACTTACTACTTACTACTTACTACTACTTACTACTTACTACTACTTACTACTTACTACTACTTACTACTACTTACTACTACTTACTACTACTTACTACTACTTACTACTACTTACTACTACTACTACTACTACCACCACTACCACCACCACCACCACCACCACTACTACTACTACTACTAATACTACCACCGCTACTGCTACTGCTACTCCCACTACTACAACTCCTACTACTAATACATCTTCTGCTACTGCTACTGCTGCTACTGCTACTGCTACTATTGTTACTACTACTACTACTACTTCTTCTTCTTCTACTTCTACTTCTACTAGTACTACAACTACTACTTCTACTTCTACCCATACTTCTACTTCTACTTCTACCACCACCACCACTACTACTACTACAACTCCTACTACGACGACGACTACTACTACTACTGCTACGACTACTACGACGACTGCTACTACTACTACTACTACTACTACTACGACTAGGACTACTACTACTACTACTACTGCTACTACTACTACTAATACCACCACCGCTACTGCTACTGCTACTCCCACTACTACAACTCCTACTACTAATACATCTTTTGCTACTGCTACTGCTGCTACTGCTAAGCGAAGCTTAAAGTCCAAAGAAACCCTAAAGAAACGATGCCCTGAGCCAAGCCTAAAGAAACCCTAAAGAAACGAAGCTCTAAGCCAAGCCCAAAGAACCCAAAGAAACGAAGCTCAAAGCCAAGCCCAAAGAAACCCTAAAGGGTTGAAGCCTCAAGCCAAGCACAAAGAAACCCTAAAGAAACGAAGCCCTCAACCAGGCCCAAAATAGAACCCTAAAGAAGAAAACCCAAAAGCGAAGCCGTGAGCAAAGCCTAAAGAAACCTTAAACCCCTGATCCCTTGGTCCCTTTGACCTCTTGCTCCCTCTGTTGCTTCCTGAATGTCCTAGTCCCTTGAGCTTTACTGGTTTGCTGGTCCTAGTCTCTTGGTCCCCTGGTCCCTTCGTCTCTTTGGTCGTTCCATATCCTGGTGACCGCTCCAGATTGATATTGAATTATGTTCTACAATTATTGCTATTGTTATAGAAACCTTTTTCACTGATTCAAAAAAGGCTGCTCCAGCGCCCTGCGTCTGCACTGCACCACTACTACCGTTACTATGATTATTAGTTCTACTATTATTGCTATTGTTTCTGTTTCTGCGTCTTGTCCTGTTTCCTCCTACTACAACAACTACTGCCACTACTACTTTATTGCTACCACCTACTACTACTACTACTACCACCTACTACTACTACCACCTACTACTACTACTACTACTACTACTACTACTACTACTACTACTACTACTTACTACTTACCACCTACTACTACTACTACTACTACTACTACTACTACTACTACTACTACTACTACTACTACTACTACTACTACTACTACTTACTACTACTTACTACTACTACTTACTACTACTTACTACTACTTACTACTACTTACTACTACTTACTACTACTTGCTACTCCTTCCTACTACTTACTACTACTTACTACTACTTACTACTACTTACTACTACTTACTACTTACTACTACTACTACTACTACTACTACTACCACCACTACCACTACCACCACCGCCACCACTACTACTACTACTACTACTAATACTACCACCGCTACTGCTACTGCTACTCCCACTACTACAACTCGTACTACTAATACATCTTCTGCTACTGCTACTGCTGCTACTGCTACTGCTACTATTGTTACTACTACTACTACTTCTTCTTCTACTTCTACTTCTACTAGTACTACAACTACTACAACTACTACTTCTACTTCTACCCATACTTCTACTTCTACCACCACCACCACCACCACCACGACTACTACTACTACTACTACTACAACTCCTACTACTACGACGACGACTACTACTACTGCTACTACTACTACTACTACGACGACTGCTACTACTACGACTAGGACTACTACTACTACTGCTACTACTACTACTACTGCTTCTACTAGTACTACTACTACTACTACTACTACTACTACTACTAATACTACCACCGCTACTGCTACTGCCACTCCCACTACTACAACTCCTACTACTAATACATCTTTTGCTACTGCTACTGCTGCTACTGCTACTGCTACTATTGTTACTACTACTACTACTACTTCTTCTACTTCTACTTCTACTAGTACTACAACTACTACAACTACTACTTCTACTACTACTACTACTACTACTACGACTGCTACGACTACGACTACGACTAGGACTACTACTACTACTACTACCACTACTACTGTAATTTTTTTTGATCTAATTTACTTTTAAAATGATCTCCTCAAACAATTTTTTTGATCCCTATCAATTGTTTTTTGATCCTTCACCCCTGCACAAGTGTGATACAGACAATATTACAATACATGAGGATATCTATAATGTACAGATATTTGCAGACTGCAGACAGATCGATCGATCGATCGAAAAATATATAGAAATAGAGAGAGAGATAGACAGTCGTTTTCCAAAAGTTCCCTGTCTATGCCTGTTTTGGGCTTGCCTTATGTCTCTGTGTCGAGCGGCCGTTGGTGCGTGGATGCACAAAAGGGGGACGTTCAATATCATTACAATACGTGTTAAATGCATAATGGCGCGTCAAAAGGTTTGAAAGGATTTGTTCCAGCTGGTGAATATTAAAAATAGTGTAGTAGGTTTTATCCATTGTTAGTTACGCTGATCACATACGCATATTTTCAAATTATATATAATTATATGCATGTGTGCGTGTGCGAGTGTGTTTTACCTTGCCGAACAAACTTTGCTTTGCCTTCTCCTTTGTGCTTGGCATGTTTGCACGCCTAAGGAAGTGGGGAGACAGCTGCCTGAACAGATCTGGATAAAGCCAGAACTGTTGCGAGTTCCAAGCCATGCCGGAAAAGCAAGGATGATCAGCCAGCAAAGGATTACGACTGCCTAGTGACCTGAGTGTTGGGATTCACGCGTGTTTCCAGGAAGCACCCCTGGTTCTTTGAGTGGAAGGACTCCCCACCCCACCACACAGAGTGGAGACCAGAAGTTTCACCCAGTCTCCCACCTTGCAATTCACGACCAGAAGGATGGACTCTTGTGATGCGCCCCATTGGGCCCATCAGTGCTCCCCCAGTCCTCACGTGGGGGCGGCCCATCCGTCGCGGCGCCCAGGGGCGGCTTCTCGGACATGGCGATGTCGGGTTCCGGGCCGGGGCCTCAAGGACAGAGTTGGGCGTGTGATGGCGTGTGATCGTCGTGGGAGCCTCGGCCGTGTTTCGGCAAGTACTCAAAAGGCTTCGGCTTATGTAGGCGTAAGGATGTACTGTACCAGTTTTTTACTCAGTCCTCAAATTAGAGATTCTGTCGCAAGCGGATTGTTAACTGAAGAAACTATCAATTATCCTAATTTGCTGGTATCTAGGCCCTCTAGGCCCTTTCGTTGCAGCATCACGCCGCAATGCATCACGCCGCAAATTATCCTGACTGACTCGTGTTGAGGCAAGACAAAGAAAAAGGCTCGTGCTTGCGCCCTAGCATTAGCCCAGAATCGCCCGCAGCATGTCTGATTGTGATGGATCCTAGTGAACGTGGCAGCTCAGGTGCTGACTTTGTTCGCCTCATCGAAGGCTGGGGCAGGGATAGCTACTCTGGCCACCAGTCTGTACATGGTGATATCGATGACATACCAATCATGAGGGCGAGGATGGGCAAAGTATATAATTGAAGTGTTGCCCAATTACCCCAAAGGATGTTTGGCCCTACAAGTCCTGAGAATGCAAAACCTTGCAACATCCAGGAGAGGGGCTATTGGGTGAAGCATGCTGTTGGGGTGTCATGCAGTTGTATGCATTTGTCACCCAGTGCTTGCCCTTTTGGCAGCACTGCCTGACCGAGTTAAAGGCTGTGTTTGCAACACGCCACTAATCCCAAACTCAACCCCTCACAAACCCGCCCCCCGCTCCCAAAGAAGATGTCGATAAGCTGTTTGCAGAAAACCGTTTGTGGCTAATAGCGGCTGAGGCTCAGCTACCTGAATGCTGGCCGAGTTAGTTGACAAAAAGGAGCAATACCGGGCGCTGGCCCGCGTGCTGATAGCATGACCCAAAAACAAAACCATTGAAATAGGCAAGGATACTGGCATTATATATAGGGGTTGGCAATCCCATGAACTTGCCAGGCAATATGTGAGCCTTTGCGAGAGGTGCCTGGCGGCATGCGGGACACAAGGCCGCATGCGGTGAGAGGCATTCTGCCTCGCCAACGAAGGTGCAAACACCCTCGACCGTAGAAACAAAGAAGAAGACCTTCACCAAGGAGAGTCGTGCTTTGAATCCCTGGGAGGTTCCACCAGAATGTGCGTAAAGTGTATATATGTGCATATACATCATATACAATATATATATATATACAGTATAAATACAGTATAAAATGGGATAAATATAATCAAAAATACCATAATACATATATTATTTAGATTTTTGGATACACTTGGTAGTTTGCTCATGCATATGCTCCGACCCCTTCGATGGCACGTCCATAAAAGTCAGAGACCATCAAGCTTGCTTACTTGGGGATTGGTAGGTTCTCAGTGTGAGAGATCACCTCATCTACACGCATGATTACAAAGGATTACATTGCTACGATGATGGGGGTCATCAGCTTCACTGTCTTTATGCCGGCTTCGCGCTTCGCTGCAGGTCAGCTGATCAGACTTGTCACTGACCAGTCTCTTGGCAGCAGCTGTTTGCTTGGATACTCTCTTGCCGCCTACCAGGTAGTACTGAATTTGGGCACGCACACACACATGCACTCCAAAGCCGTAGTGGCTTGGTATTTGTAGTGGCTTGGTATTTGTTGCACATGTTCATGCCACATGTGAGCTCAGTCTTTGAAGAACACCGCACTCTTTTTGCAAGAAGCAACGGCCTTCCTCGCAACCTAACTTGGAGCTTGGTGCACGTCAAGCTGCAAAGAGCGGCGCAATGTTTTATAAGCCTGTGAAGCGTCCAAGTATTGTTGCCCTCCCTTCCGCGGCAGGCACAATGGACAGAGCGTGATTTTTGGCTTGTACAGGTAGGTCACAACTACGAGAGTCTAGCAAGACGGGGGCACCTGCTGATGTTTTCTGGCAAAATGACATGAACATATTGGGAAAGTGTGCTGAGGGTCAAAGACCTGGCTGGTGCCTCCGGGAGATGCAACGGATCTGGATGTAGCAGTCTGGGCGCAGCAGGTACTGGGCCCGGCAATGCTTGTCACAAAGCCGCTCGATGCTGCTGCGGTACGAAGGACATGTGGACCTTAGTTCCTTTTTCCTTTTGTAAGCTCAGAGCAGTCTCCACCATCTCAAGCCCATCAGATTTTGGTGTGGTGCATGATTGACATGTCCCTTCGCTACGTCCTTTGCCGATGACGTGAGCCCTCGCAGCAGTGATGAACTGATGCTCTGAGCAGATGGAAGCAAAAGACTTTCATCACAGCCAGACGCTGAATTGATAGCCCCGGGCTAAACCTACCTAGAGCCATGAGTTGGCTGGCGCATTTGGGGACGTCAGCCAGCCAATACGGCAAAGCCCTGCCGTCCTCGTTCGCGGCCAGACGAGGAAGGTTTTTTTTTTCGTACCTCAGGACCCATCGGTTCGTGCTGGGATGCAGAGTGTGTCGAAAAGCGTGGACGCATGCGGCAACAATTCTCTAGATCGCATGCGTCCACGACATCTACAACAGCATTTTATCATGTTCTTTATCGGTGTCATCCGGCTTCTATCTTTCAAACATTATTTGTTCTACCTTTGGGTGTGGCATGATAATTAGTCTATTTATTGCCAAAACAGGTTTACCTGTTTTCGGGGTTCTTACTCCTTTGAAAGGGTGCTGGCGTGCTGGTCGGTTGTGTCGCAAACTCCGCTTGTTCTGCCGGGTTGCTTGTGTCGCCTTTTTGTGATGTGTCTTCTGTTGACTCGGGCAGTCTCCTTTGGTTTGTCCAAGGATGTGCTGGATGGGTTGGGTCACCTGTTTTGTGGTGTCTCGCGCTGTCGCCACTTTTGGCGTCTCCGGCTGTCTTTGGGTGTGGCGGATTGGTTGGGTGGCCTCTTTTGCGGTGTCACTGGCGGTCTCTAGTTGCAGTCGGCCGTCTCGTTTTCAACACTTCTTATACTTCGCACTGTCTTTTCCCAGTTGGTCTATATCAAATGATTTGTGGGTAGAATGTTGTACGCTTGTGGTTGTGTGGAGGACCCGAGGTACATGTATCTTCTGATTTTTCCGATGCATCTGCCTGTCAAGGAACAGATCGGAAGAGACACCCATACGCACTTGGTGGCCAGAGAATCCTACGCATTTGGCGGAAGTCTTGGGTTTGTTCGAGTTGAGGTAATCTCAAGTAAAGCAGAGGGTAGAGTCGGACATGTCGGATATGTCGGTCCTGGACACCGTGCGATCGAAGTGTGAAGTATTGCATGTTTCAATGTCAATGCTTTATTTTTCCCCAGACCCTTGGCCTTCTAGAGCAGGCGGAGCCATGCACAGAGAGGGACCTTCCATCTTCAAAACCTTTTGAACTTCTCTCGTCACAGCTTTAAGGTTGTTTGCCCAAAGAGCCAAGGGAAATCTGGGATGATGCTTAAACCACATTTCTTTGCTGAACTGTGCTTACTGCTTGTTGCTGCTTGCTAGCAAGCACATCCAAGCACAGCTCGGCCCTTGACATCTCCCTTTGGAATTTGCTGATGTGAAGGGATGAAATGAGGTCACCAATCTTTGCATGCCCCCGTGGCCGTTTTGTGGCCAACCCTCCAGACGTGAAATTTCAGATAGAACCAGTGAAGGATGATTGTGATGCACCCTAAGTCCAACACCCAAGAGCCAGGAGGGTTGGTAGAGTTGCGGAGGGGCCATGGAGGCCTGCAATGCACCATTGAAAGGCGATTTAACGCGATTTTCGATTGTTTTAGATTGTTGAGATGTCTAAATTGATGCAAAAATTCGGGTCCCATTTGGTACAACTGGCCAGCTGCCCACCCTCGGATGCGAGGCATTTGCCATCATTTGCCATCCCTCGTTTGTGGCAGAACCATGCCAAAGTCAACTAAGAGCAAGCGCATCAGTGGCAGTAGAGAATGTTCATTTCTTGGATGTTCTTGGTAATTAGTAGGAGCAAGAACGCTAGGGGCTCCTGGCCTTACTCCTAGGAGCAAGCGCTAATTACTAGTAACAATAAAGCTTTGATGTTCTTTGTAGGTTTCCCAGGTTGGAGCGGCCAGCGAATCTTGCAGCACCGCGGCTCCGCGGTGTCTTATGGGTCACACGCACGTGGAGGGCTCAGCATGCAGACTTATTACAATGAGCCGGAAGGCCACACTGCCGGATCTGTGATGACCAGGTGTCTCCTTAGCATTGTTGCTCGGCAAGGTGTCTACTTAGAAGTGGCATGCGAACTGCAACTTTGACATTTGATTGCCCGCCATGTTGCCCCATCAACGGAAGACAATGATGACCTCACCATAGCCAGTTTCCTTGGCTAAAAGGACAGGTGGTTTCCTTGGCTCGTGGCTGCTTGCAGCGTGGCTCCTTTCGCGACGCGTTCGTGACACTGTCTGCGGCTTGAAGAGTCGGATGAGTAGGTTTCAAGAACACCTGACTCTTCCAGAAGCCCAGTTAGACCTTCCATTTCTGAGAAGCGAGTCGATAGAAAAAAGGAACACTTGACTGGCTAACTGGCTGACTACTGGGCCGATGGCCACTGCATCCCGGGGACAAGGCTAGTGGTTTTGGAAGAGACTGCTAGTCAAATTAGCAAAAGCAAGCCAACATAATATAGCACATTCAGACTCTTGATTAATTGGCGAGGGCTGGCC